ACTGAAATAACATGTGACGCAAATTGAAGTACGAAACTAAGTTGAGAGCCTCGATCGTTTATTGGAAGAGAAATTCAAAACTAATGTACAGCCACTTTCATGGGCGGGGCTTTTTTCCGGTGCGCTTCAAATTGCAGACTGTATTATTTGTAACAACTTCTGTAAATTTGAAAACAAAGTGTATAACCTATTGTAGTAAGTTACAACATCTAGCACTACTTCAGCACTAAATCAGTGCCTGGAATTGCTGTAATACTTGAAGAATCAAACATTTTATACTACACATACTTTTGTTTTTCGTCACTTTTAACAAATAACTTTATAATGAATTTTCGGATATAATTAACATATACCATTATGTGCTTTATCACTTCACTAATTGTAAGTTCATTATTAAGTAAATTAATTCACATTGAAGGACCATGTATGTGGTGACTCTTGTATCCATGGAAATTTGTCAGGCTTTTGTCTCCTGGAATACACATCCTCATTTATTTTTAAATTTGTTTCTCAAAACTCATTTTATTACTTTCAATTTACATATTTTAGGTTCCAAACTAAATAGTGGTAGACCTGACAAAAATTGTATGCTATGTGGACAGTACCAAAAGTTTGAAACATAAGTGTGTTTAATGTCTAAAACAGAAATATTTCATTCCAACATAGTAAAAAAATTATTAACTGTATTAACTCTTAGTTCATTGATGTTTCATTCATTGATGCCATTCCTGCCTTATAGCACTATCATAATAAAGTTGTTGTTTTTTTGCAGATGTGACTGCAGCAACACTAAGTTACGAAGACACAACGAGCTACATGCATTTTACTATTGACCCAGCTTCCCAGGGTGACCAGCATCTAGTGCAGTTAGGTTTTCGTACGACTAAACCAGATGGTCTGATTTATTTCATGCCCAGTACTGATCAGAGTCAGTATGTTGTGGTACAGTTAGCGGATGGAGAACTAAAAGCTCTGGTTAAAAGTGGTACCATCAGCAATACAGTCACTGTGTTAGGTCAGTTTGACGACGGCATGTGGCATTCGGTAGAACTCGCCTGGCGAGAAGAGGCTGTGAATTCTATTCTGACTGTTCAAGTTGATGAGCTGCTCCAAGAACAGACGTCTGTTGTTGGCAATGCTGCTGTCAATTTCTCTGATATCTACATAGGGGGCGTTGCCGATTTCAGTTCTATCTCGTCAGTACCGTCAGTAAGCAAGGAGTATTTCAAAGGCAGTGTAATAGATGTACGACATAATGGTTACTATTTGGATGCATTCCCATTGTCTGTCGACGATTTACCACCTTCATATGAACTGAGTGACGATCGCAGCCTCATTGAGGGCAGCGTCAGTGACAACATGTGCGATGAAGACAATCAGTGCCAACACAATGGTACATGCGAAACCACTTGGAATGATTATATATGTACATGTACATATGGTTTCCGGGGAAAAAATTGTGACTTACTTGCTTTCTGTAGCTACAGAACTTGTCCATATGATGCAGCCTGTGTCGACCGAGATGATGGCTTTGACTGTAAGTGTTTCATTTTTATGTTACGTACTGCCCTCTTTGGTCAATTTTTATTATCTCTTGTTTGTTTTTTATTATTATTCTGATTCATGTTCTTGAAAAAATTCTGTTTCTAATCTATTTATATATTTCTAATCATAATTTTTTTAGGACTGTGTTATTTTTAATTTTATGTTAATTAAGTTTTCCAGTACACCTCACACAACTGTTGTTAATTTTATTTATCAAAAAGAAGATTTTGCTGTAAATAAATATACAGACATTATTTGAACGTTAAATACATGTTTTTTTTGCTGTTTTTTTATAACAGGTGTGACCAGTGCTACGTTTGATGGAATGAACGCTATGGTTCGTTATACAAATAGTATAAGTGAATCAGCAGTCATAGACGACATCAAGATTAAACTAAGAACTCGGAGAAATATAGGATTAATTTTGCATGCCAGTAAAGATCAGAGTAATGAATATGTTACTATCGAGATGTCTAACAATGATTTGGTGTTTAAATTTAACTTGGGATCTGTAACAGGTGATCTAAGACATTCCCTAGATGCCGTCATTGACGGAAACTGGCACGTAGTTAAAGTCAGCATTTCGAATGATGGTGCTTGTCTTATTATCGATGACAATATCAACGATCGTTCTTGTTCTTTGCGAAACATAGCACAGTCGTTTTCAAGTCTGTTCACTGATGCTTCTAGCTCAGTGTATCTAGCTTCTAGTGATTTTATTGTCGTACAAGGCTTCAAAGGTTGTTTAGAAGAAGTGCGAATTGGGGGCTATTTGCTGCCATTCTTAGATCGTGAGACGCTGAACAGCACCAGCCTAGAACAGTTTTATGCGACACTGACAGACGTAGCAATTGGTTGTCATGGTGACCCAGTGTGCACATCATCACCATGCCAAAATGGTGGATCGTGCGAGGACATATGGAATGCATATGATTGTGATTGCGATCTGGGTTATGATGGAATACATTGTGAGAATGATATTGATGAGTGTGCCTCTACGCCGTGCTGGGGTCCATCAACATGTGTTGACGCAGTCAATGGATACACTTGTGTATGTGCTCCGGGATACACTGGAATACTGTGTGACATGGACATCAATGAGTGCGACTCGGATCCATGCCAGAACAACGGTACTTGTGAAAACCTGGAAAACCACTTTGTTTGTAACTGTAATGAAAACTATACTGGAAATCACTGTGAATACCTAATTCCTGTAAGTCTACTTCAGTTTTATTACTGTTTTACGAATATATAAATCAGCTTG